TCTTAGTATATTACCAGTTTGAAAACATTTAACATTTCTTTTTTTTCGAAATAGCTTTGATGTGTGCAAAATCTGTCGTTTGATAGAGATATAAACACTCTGTTCATTGTCATTTAAATCAAGTAGGAAACAGTTCATATCTTACAGTTCAATCCTTGATAGCAGCGGCTTACTGTTAAATGGTGGTAAGTGGGGTGACATCCAGTAAAATGAGCGAGGAGACAGCAGAGGTGCTGCCATGTCTGTGGAGGTTGTGTGTGTGGGGTGATTCCCTTGGAAATTTCTCTTTCTATTTTACAGATAAAAGTCTCGTTTTTCTCTCAGAGTCCAGTTTGTCGTTTCACTCCGGCCCTCCTAAGATCCGCGTCAGTCATCGTCGCCGTCATCTCCGCCGAGCGGGCCCTCAGGTAGCAGTTCGGAGGCCCGTTTCTCTCTACTCCTCTCCTGGATCTTCCTCATCTCATCCGCGTATTTGCTGAAGGTGTTGCCGAATTTGGACCACACTTTGCACGGAACCGTGATGGAGTTCCGGTACGTGGGCTTCACCTCACTGACCCTCATGAAGACCCCGTACTTATTGGAGCCCACGTCGAAGAAGAAGCGCTTGTTGTCGACCGTCAGAGAGGTGCCCTCCGGGAGCTCCGCCGGCTCCTCGTCCACACCGTAGTCGTCGATGAGTTTGGCCAAAGCGTCGCGGAACTCGATGAGACCCTGCGCCGGCAGAGCGATGGTCTGGCCTTGCGCGCTTCCCAATCCGGGCCCCCGATTAACGGTCTGCCGGATCCTTAGGAACCGCCCCCTCTGGTTCTCTTTCAGATCCATGTAATATTTCCGATTCTCCCGCACCAGGAATTCGCTCTTGAGCGCCCGCCGCGGCTCATCCTGCACTATGTCCGGGTTGCTCGGGCCCAGCTGGGCGTAATGTTCGATAAAGTCCCCGAGATAATCGCGGAACTCTACGGCCACCGACATAGAGAGAGTGAGGCGGCTCTTGTTTCCACCAGCCCCGACCTCGGCTATCTTTAGGAAGCGGCCTTTAACATTCTGCTTCACGTCAAGGTAGAAGCGCTTGTTTTGGATGTCGACGCGCTTCGAGGCGAGCTCCTCGGTGTCGTGCTGCAGCCGGGACATAGCACCCATCGCACCCGGGGGCAGCGAGCCGGGGCCCGCGGTGGGCCCTCCGTGGTCACTGCCACTGTCTCTGTCCGCCATGATGCTGCCTCCCTGCTTTACCTTCCACCGTCTCCCTCTGCCTGCTGCAACCTCGACTGCCCGTCAAACCACTCCGCCGCTCTATCGCGAGACGAGAAGAGAGAAGAGGTTGAAAAAAAGGAAAGTAGCTGTGCTCGGTGCTGCTGTACTGAAAGCGGGCTGCGTTCAAGACACTCACTCTGGTTTTACAACGTTTCACACAATTTTCAATTCATCCTTCTGTTTCGCCGTATATTGCAACTGAAATGTAACCCCCACCCATGTGAGCCTCAAACACTGCAGTACTAACATCAAACATAGATTGATAGATTGATAGATAGATAGATAGATAGATAGATAGATAGATAGATAGATAGATAGATAGATAGATAGATAGATAGATAGATAGATAGATAGATAGATAGATAGATAGATAGATAGATAGATAGATAATGGCTACACATTGAAGTACATAAATAACACCTGTTTGCATCCTGTTGAAAAAGTAATGACAGGACTGGAATAAAATTCCTACCGGTTTGGGTCTTTCAGCACCACGGACAGCGATCCTGGACAGTCTCTTAAGAAGGACACATAAATAGAGAGAGCCAGGGAAAAGATACATTTCTGAATGAACAGTGGATGATAGCTGTGTAGGAGTCTGAGGGAGGGGCTGATTCACTGTGAAGCATCATGAATCATTACCCTGTGATTGGACTTGCTTGCCTGACACTGTTTCTCAATGGCCTTGAAAGGCTTTATCAGCTTAAAAGAAGAAGCAAAACGCCAACTGTTGGATAAAAACTACTATATTGGACATACAAGATGTCATTAATATTCATTTTTAAATTCACATACATTAAATATACAACCAAGGCATAATATTATCTTAACAGGTTTTTAGAATTATGCTGATTTACAATGATCTTTTCATGCAATATGAGTTCAGATTAGTCACGTGTTGTTCTTTCTTTTAGCACTTGCGTATTTCCAGTGTATTAGTTATTCAAGTGAGAATTAATCCTGTTTATAAGGGTCATATAAAGTACCTCCACAATAACAATAAAACATACCAGGCGATGTTATGAGGTGTTTAGCCTTCATGGGCCTACAAAGGAGGAGCAAGTAGAAGAATGATGTGGGTGACTTGATGTTGATATGATGACAGTTTAGTAGGATTTGAAGGCTGTGAAATAATATTGATATAATCTGGGAAAGGAACAAAAAAACAAGTGTTTTAATTGTAAATGGATCAGCCTTTTTTCTTTTTGCAGATTTCCTAAATGAAATATATATAGAAAAAATCATCATCATTAATTATACAATTCACAAAAAAAAGACTCACAAATATCTCATACACTCATTTGAGATCCGTTGATTTGAGCTGGTAAAAGAAGGGCCGTTGACTTGTTAGCATATCCAGTCATGTCCATAGTTTTTTGAGTGGATAAGTCACTGGTGTCTGTCAGCACCACGGACAGCGGAGGGTGGGCATAAAAACCGATTGAATTGAGTTTGCTTTGGAGTATTGCTTACAGTGTAGAAAATGATGGAGGGATGAATGGAAAAAGGGAATCAGGGACAAGTTTGCAAAGACATCCTGACAGATTTTGGATAGAAAGTGTCCCATGATATACCTCATCAACACCCTGCTGAAATGAAGGTGCATCTCCAAAAACAGCCCATTACATTACATTACATGTCACTTGTTAGATGCTTTTATCCAAAGCGACTTATACTCAATACTGTGGGCAATCCCCACAGGAGCAATTTGGGGTGAAGTGTCTTGCCAGGTACACAACGACATGCTGACTGCAGTGGGGTTTGAACCTGTGACCCCCTGATCCGAACACCACCCCTCTGATAATTCCAAGTGTTAGTACCAGGGGAAACGGCAATGGGTGGCAGTCCTCCCCCAGGGTTAGTCAGCAGGAAAGGTCCCCGAATGGGTTTCTCTAATGAATACATGAGTGCTTGAATGGATGAAGGAGAGACAGATCAGTTAATGGGTGGGCAGTGGGCGGAGACGGAGAAAGGTGGGGGTGGGTCACTGAACACATCACTACTCTTCAAATGCTTTGGTAATCCCAGGACTGGAAAAGCAATCATAGGAATAAGGAACCATCACAACTTGAAGTTGAACCTCCACGCTTAATAGCGTTCAGCACCTTGGACAGCAAACAGGACAGAAACGGCTTTTTACTTTATCTAAAAGACTTGACCCTTTGGAACTTGGGTTAATATTTTACAGTCAACAAACCATATTGGCCTTCAATCTCTACGAGGTGTCATGTGACTGGCTTTGTTGGGGCCAGCACTAAACCTGTCAAGCCATTCAGCACCATGGACAGGGCATGGCTCGTGATGGCCCTTCTGCTTGAGAAACTGGTGTATGAGGCCATCATGTAGGTGCATACTGTGATGAAATGGCCTCTCACATTTTCTTCATCATCTATAGTAAGACAAATGCAGCCCATGTGTCCCCTATATGACATTATATTTTATCCCTTTCTCAGCATGGACAATGAAAGGCTTTCTGACCTCTACAGAAGGGCGTGCGGCTCCTGATAGAGAGTGAAAGGAGAATCTTATGAATGGCTTGATTGATTGATACACAGATGGAAGCAGGGGCTGGTTCAGCTGAGGAGGGAGGGGGACATGTGGTCACCATAAAAAAAGCTTGAGCATATTGTGTAAAGCTCGCATTTCATTGGTGGAGATGTGTTCAATGAAAAAAGTGGTTTTATTAGCTGTAGCTGAGCAGGATTGGCAACACATTTGCGTAGAATATCTTTCCAGCATAGCACCTTTAGGTTGGGCTAACTGATGCCCCCACTTGTTGCATTACAGAGTCGTACAACTGCACCGTTTCTCATAGCATAGTGAACTGCACTGACTCGCATAGGGTGGTAAATGTCAGCTTTTGGGTGTGCTTTCCTGCAGCGTGCGTATATATGAGTGAGGACATTTAAAGCTGAAGTCTCGTAACTCGCAGCTCGGTTCGCCACGCTGAGGAATCCATTGAGAGAATTTCGCAGCGTTAGTCATCGCGACAACTATCCGCAGTGTGTGTAACAGTCGCCTATAGCCTCTCTTGCACCTCTCGCACTGGAGATCCACAGTGGGAGCCGCGCAGGGCTTGGCTACAGACGCACCGTGCACCGCTTGCGTGATTTCTCCCGCACCCACCACCCGCAGAGGTTTAACTCAGGCGGCCGGCATGCTCACACGCCGGTTGGGTCGGTGGCGGTGTGCCGGTGAGTCCCCGGGTCATTAGGGTGTTTGCGCAGGACGTGGCGAGCCGACGCCAGTGACCGGGCAGGTGATGTTTGCTCACGTAAGCTGCTCGCGTATGATGAGGGGCGCAGGGGACGCGGCTGGAGGGTGCGCGCTACTGTTGCATCGCCTCACCGGATAACCGCTGCTATCTCATCCTGTCCGTCTCTTCCTCCCCCGGTTTTTCTGTTCTTTTTTTTATTTATTGTTTTGCTTACAGGAGAGGAACTATTTCCACGAGCGTAATAAGTGGATAAGGGACCCGACCTTGCGTTTGCGTGTGCGTGGAGTGCGTATCGTTTCTTGTTATTCCTCTGTACGCGCAAGCTGCTTTTTTTCATACCAGAGGCAATGCGCCCACCCATGCGATGCTAGCCTATTAGCTGGAGAGAGAGTGAGAGAGAGCGAAAGAGAGAGAGAGAGAGAGAGAGAGAGAGAGAGAGAGAGAGAGAGAGAGAGAGAGAGAGAGAGAGAGAGAGAGAGAGAGAGAGAGAGAGAGGGAGAGAGAGAGTGAGAGAGGTTTCAGCCCTGGATTCGAGAGGAGGCTAATTTACGAGTCTTGTTTTGCCTTTCAGGAAAAGGGGAGATAAGAGGGGGAGGGTGGTTGGTGAAGGAGAATGCAGCAATCACATTTTTAAGCATGCAGAAGCGGGCCGTTTCCGGTTCCTAGGCTGGTGTGTGTCCCCCCCATCCGAGGCCAGCAGCCGTATGGGGAGAGCAGCGGCAGACACAGATGGCATGGACACTTCCACAAGGTCTGCCGCTCTGCCCTGCCTGCTCTGCCGGAGCCCGTTCGCCGCCGTCTCTCTCTCTCAGCTCGCTCCGCCGCCCAGCAGCACTGCAGCACAGCACAGGCTGACGGCATGAGGCTTGATCCAGTGCATTTCTCCATGCTGGTCATCGGGGTCTCCTTCGCCTGTTACGCCCCGAGTCTCAACTCCCTCCAGGACCAGGCGTACCGATCCGCCGTGGTCATCGAGGGCGAGGTGCGCTCCTCCCCGGAGAACGTCTCCTCCCGGGAGCCCTACAGTGTGAATGTCAAAGTGCTGGACGTGTGGCCCGTCAACAGCGGCGGCCTCGAGAGGGAGCAGCTCGTGACCGTCGGGGACTTCGGCTCCGAGGCCCCGTGCACCACGGTGGAGAAGGACCACAGATATATCTTTTTCATGGACCCCACAGCCGAGCCCTTGGTATTCAAGGCATCGTACGCCCCTGTGGACGCCAGCGAGCCGGAGCTGAAGAAGGATGTGGAGCGAGTGTTGTGCGAGGACTGCGGTAAGTTTAAGGCTTACCCCTCTCCACCTGCCCTACACTCACACCGCACCATAGGGCCACTGAGGCTGCCATGGCGATGTAAGGAGACAGTCACCGCTCTCTGGCTGCGCGTGCACGTGTTGAGTCTATACTGTGTTTCAGCGTGCGTACACATGTGCATGCGCGTTAGCCGGTTGATACTTTTTAATCCTGCATAACCCAAACTGAAATGAGAAGCAAGGCAGCGTGTGTGAGTGTGTGTGTGTGAGAGTTTAACCCGGGTTAAACCACAAACAGGTTCCTTCAAAAGCCCTGATGATCAGGGGAGACTAAAAGTTCAGTTTGAGATCTGCATCATCACATCATCACTGTCTGCATCATGCTTAAGGTTGAACAGCAGTTAGTGTGTGTGTGTGTGTGTGTGTGTGTGTGTGTGTCAGAGAGATAGGCAGAACATGTGAGGGGAAAGTTACCTACAGCCAGTTGTACATGTCAGATCTGCTGCTGTTATATCAGACTGTGCCATTGATGACTGCAGTGATGGGTAGTGGTAACTGTTAACATGTCACAACTTGTTGCAGGTTTCCACCATTGCCATCGAAAATGTTGCTCGTTTTCTTGCATTACCCCTACAAACAGAAACTCCCGTAGCACTTCCTGGGTTTTAAATAACTAATTTCTATGAGAAGTGGCTACAACTAAATGTAGAGCAGCTGGCCTGTCTGTTGAAGTTATTGTCAACAGGATGGCTTTTATGAAAAGAACAATCTGAATACGAGACAAGGAAAAAATATTCAAGATGAGGGTTGAGCACTTTTTCTCTTTACTCTCTGACATTTCCTCCCTTGGTTTCTCTCCATCAGAGAGGTGAAACAAACTTGAATTGACCCTTTACTTACAAAAGGGAAAAGAAAAGTTTCAGAACCGTCTACTTAGTTCGTATAACACATAAACGGAGCTCTAGACACTGATACTTGTACATCATTACATCTGCTAGTTACTCTCAGATCTTATACTTTTAACTACAGTGCAATCCTGTGACCACCTATGTGGCAAGAAGTACTCTGGATTTCCCCTGCTACACAAAAGAGAGGGGAATTACATTTTAACTGTGGAAATATTGAACATTTCCCCAATACAAGCCTTAAGACCATCACTGTGGACATCATCACCTGTGTTATGGTCATTTAAATACCAAACCTTTGAAACAATGCGGTTAAACACACACTCATTTGGTTCAAACCGTGAATCACCGTCATTTCCATGCAAACCACTGGCACCTGTAAAGTGTTCAATCCTGACAGGAAGTAGCTCAGAAGTCTCAACAAAGGGTTCATCCAGCGTTTGAGCTAACAGCGTGATGTTCTATTTTTACCTCTGTGTCATGCTAAAATTATCCAGTCATTTATTTATGACAGGGCTGTTGCAATCAGGCTTCTGTCTAAAGCCCATTGCTGCAGGCTCAGGAGAGGAGATACCCACTTATGAGCTGAATCACCCCGCGCACACGCTAACACACACACGCACACACGCACACACACACACACACACACACACACACACACACACACACACACACACACACACACACACACACACACACACACACCACAAAAGCCAGAGAAACAGGGAGACAACTCAACCTAATTAGAGACTGCAGAGTGTGTGCTGTCCACAGCATTACAGGAACACAGCTTTTGTCACCTCCATTTCTTTCATAGGGTTGGCTGGATTCATCTGACAAAACTAAACAAAGAAATACAAAATCTAAGGCCCAAATTAGTCACACAGTCAACCCAAAAAAAACATATCACTTGCAATTGGTAGCCCTGAATGTTTCATGAAAAATATTTCCACTCCATTTCTTCAGAGAAAAATGCTATGATGAATAGTCAGGAGCCAGTTCAACAGGAAACACATATTTTAACATGGATACCCTTTAGCCATTGAATAATTGGCCATTATAATCTTAGCCAACTACTATGTCTGCAAGTTTCAGTCTTTTTTTAAATGCTTTTCTCCTTCCAAGAAACGTATAGTCAACGCAAGATTTAAAGTGGCTCTTTTGTTTTATTCCTTCATATCAAGAAACCCAAAGAATCTATATGTTGTGTTAGTTGACTACAAATATCTTTTGTTGAGGAAAACCTTATTTCATATTTCACAAGTCTATGTGTAATCTATGTAAGATACAGAAACCTCTTGTAAAGTGTTGCAAAAATAATCCCCCTCTGCAAAATGCCAACGACAACTGCTTATTGGCCCGGCCTCCTCTCCGTTGCCACACTGACACTTTTCATTGGGCGGATGCACAAATGTCAGAGCAGCCGGTGAGTGAGCTACGACTCTTGGCCGGTGATCAGGCCGGAGACGTGCATGAGAGGATATTGTAGAAGAATTTAATTTGGACAGAAGTAACTGCAGTTTAAAGATGGGATGAGGCAAGGGGCGTGTCAGCAGACACACACCCTGAGCACAACCAATCACAAACCTGTTCTAAACACAGTCGGCCAATCTCAGCCGATCTGTTGTAACGCCCACTTCTGTACTCAACACACTTTTATCACTGTCATGCTTTCTTCTACAGTTGCTAATATCTGCTTTTTTTGATTATATATGAAAACCTGTGTTGCTGTTTTCTTGAGCAAGGGTATAACTGAGAATTGTGTTTTTACGTTTGATTTCATACAGTTTTATGGTAAAATTGTTATCCGTTATTTTGGAAACTCTTGAATGTGAGTAGCCATTAGTATGAGGTGCTTCTGTCCCCTCTCACTGACTTTGATAACCCAGTCAGTGTTCGGTGTTGAATGCTGAATGAGGAGGGATAGTAGATGTAGCTTGATACATCTTAGGAACAACAACATTGCAGCTGTTTTGCACTCGGTGGCACAGGTACTAAAAGCTCAACAAACTTGTTGAATATTTGATCATGCCATGCCAGTAAAAACTCAACTCTTATATATTTTTTTATATTGTGTTTATCAAGACCTATAAACAAGCATTTGCTACAGCTAGAGTGCAGAACAATTACAATGTAAAGCTTACATTACATTATGACCATTTACTAAGCTTTTCTGGAAACACCTCTGTGCTACTGGTTCCACTTGCTAGTATAACATCATTGCAGCTACATCGTTCACTTGACTTGCCTTTAGCACCTGTCTGACAGACTTTTCGAGATGTTTTCTTGATATCTTTTGGGCTACACGAATATGTAGAAGCCACAGGATGTCAGCTCTGTTAACCTCAAAGCACACTATGATATGTTGTATTAGATAATATCTGTTTAAAACAACAGGTTGTTAGGTTCATGTCTTGATATATCTTTTTACAGCAGTCAGAATTTAGAAGACCCTCACTGTGAGAAATAATTGAGACAGTCATTTTCTTTCCGAAGCGAGCTAATGCGTTGGTGAGTACAGTCAGGATTCTTTTTAATCAACGTCAAATCACAATTCCATGTAGGTTTGTGCAAGACGGAGGTCATAGTGTAGAGGCGGGTCAACATACACAGGACTTTCAACCAGCTGTTCGAGTCCCTTTTGAAACCGTTAGTCAAAATGGACTTTGTTTGGTTCACGTCTTAACTTTAATAACGGAACAAATACTTTTATGTCAGGCCAACCCATAATATTTTACTAGACCTAACCAAGCAGTTTTGTTGAGTTTTTGTTGGAGTTTAACCACACGTTTAAAACTAGTCCAGGAGGAAATACGTTTCCCCCTCGAATGCGTAATTGAGAATGCATTCCATGAGTTTTAAGAACATTTAATTTTCCACTTTTTCCACTTCACCCCCAATCCAATCCTCTGACCAAAACTTAAGAGGCAAAACAGATCAGAATGTGTAGAAACGTCTGCGACATCTGCTGTGAGAGAACGGAGTACAAACTCATGTGGAATCCAAGGCTACAGTAGTTTAGAAATTGATAGGGAGTCTTTGTTCTTTCTTGAGCTACTCAAACCACATATCTGTCTCCACTGAGCTCCACTGGCCTTCACTGCCTTTCCCCATCACTCAGAGAAACATAACTGAAGTTTGGTCGGCTCACACTCCCTTCTTAAAAAGTACAAAACCAGTCCTATCTTACATCCCCGGCAGTGTAAAGCGTAATGTAGGTCTCCTCTGATCACCGCCGTTGACATGCCTTTTGAGAAACATTGACAGTTTCTTCCTAAAATAGCGTTATCTGATGCCCAAACATGCTCCTGTCACTGATGCTGTATCTAGTGCTGCATACCTCAACTCCCCCCCCCTCTCTTTTTCTGTCTCGCTCCTCATGCTGTAGCTGACTGTAGCTGAAGTGTGTGGTTCAGCTTATTCCTGCCCTGCTGTCAGTCAGCCACAGAGGAGGAGAGAAGCAGAGAGGGAGGGAGGGAGGGAGGGAGGGAGGGGGAGAGATCTTTAGCTTGAGATTACAAATAGATGCCGCAATAATGCATGTGTAAGACTTCCAATAACAGCCAGGGCCTGTTTTTCACCTCATTGACAGTAATGACACTAAGTTCAGGGCTGGTTTTATTGAGCCTGCGCTGTTTAAAACTGTATAGGGGGCAACGGGGGACGTTTTACAGGGAAGTAGAGCTTGGGAATTCGGGGAGTGAAGTGAATTTACACGGGGAGGAAAATACAAAAACGTTTTATTCTAATGGCATGGTTCGTCAAAAGTAGGCCCATTCAAATAAATTGTAACCATGTATATAGATAACTTGTTTTTTTTGAAACCCTTAGATTGCACACATATTTCTGCCTCAGATTTTTAAAGTACTCTTTCCCATTAGTAATGTTGTTAGTTAGTTAGCTAGCTCACCAAACAGCACATTTCACACTGTACGTATAGCTGACAAATGAATCGGTTTATGTGGAAAATGAAGGGATTATTTCCACCTATAATACGGCAAATACAGCTGGAGCAAATAACCTTTATATTTCCAATTGATTCTAGCAATTTCTAGATAAATTCCTGTTAGCCCCATGGAAACCAAACTGCTGATTTGTTTCTCATCATTACTTGAAT